TTGAAGATGAAAATAGTATCATAATTATAATAAAACTTTCATTCAGAAGTATTTGTAGAGCTCTAGATACAATATATATATTTAATATAATATATAAGTATAAATATATTTTGCAATATAAGTACATTTTATCCATAAGACTTAAATAGTAAATTTTGCATAATGATATCAATAAGGGCAGGCCTTGGGATATAAATCCCCCCTAACCAGCCAAATCAAAAGTCAAATTAAAAAGTGATTGAATTGTTCTCAAAAGACAGTTAGGAGCACGGAAATAGATCATTGGTTAGCGATTTATCGAAAGAAAAAATAGCTAAAAACAAAGCCAACCCCCCGGAATCAAAATTAAATTAAAAATAATTTGGCTATGAGCAGTCATGACCAGCCTAATCAAAAGTCAAATTAAAAAGTGATAGAAAATTGTTCTCAGAAGACAGTTAGGAGCACGGAAAGAGATCCATGGTTGGCGATTTATCGAAAGATAAAATAGCTAAAAACAAAGCCAACCCCCGGAATCAAAATTAAATTAAATATAATTTGGCTATAGCTAATCGCCAAAAGAAATTAGTATAACCCTGTAACTGAAACATTTTTGTGGTAAGAAATAAAGAATAAAGAGTTAAAAATAGATTTTGATGTTCGATTTAGTCTCGACTGTGAATTAATGAGTTTTACATTTGTATTGAAATAAAAAATTAGCCTTTACATTTATTCCTAAGAAAAGAACAAAATATTTATTTTTAACTTTTTGTAAAATGTAAAAAAAATTAAATAATTGGATTAATTTAATTGAAATTCGATTAAAAATGATTAAAAAGATTAAATTTATGAAATTAAAGAAATTGTAAAAGCTAGGAAATAGGTAATGCCTATCATAGCATCACAAGAGAGTTTTGCCTCTGTTCACTGACGCTCCTCATTTCCCTGAGATTACTATGCGATCTTACATGGTTTGCTCTGCAAACCATGCTTGCTACGTTTTCGCTACTAAATTGAACCCATTTGAAATGAGTTCTACATTAAAATCTAATGAATTTATATCACTTATTGAAATCTTTAAAACTCATTTCTCTTTGAAAAATTAAAATTTTTTGTCAATAATAATATATTGGAAGAAAAAGAAGGTCAATTTAAAATAATTGTCATGCAATAGAAAAACTTTCAGAAACAAAATAATAATTATGCTTTTAAAAAACAATTACTTTTAACGATTCACAACTTTGCAAGAAAAACTTCGCAACTTTGCAAGAAAAACTTCGCAACTTTGCAAGAAAAACTTCACAACTTTGCAAGAAAAACAATTATAAGTTTCAGAACTTTGAGCTTTCACTGTAAATCTGTCAAATGATTATTATGAAGTTAAATTGAAATAAAGGACATGCAATAGAAATTGCAGATCCTAAACGTTAATTATGCTTTTAAAAATCGAAACAGCACTGTTGATACATATTTTTTAATGAATGACAATAACCATAAATTAAAGTTAAATAAATAATCCCAAGAAACTGATGCGGTAATCTGATTAAAAACTTCATTCGCTTCAAAAATATATAAAGGAAATAACAGCCTAGTTGTTTCAACAGCTGAAAAACAGTGGCCCATTTTCAAGACTTGACATGAAGAAAAATAAACAAATGAGATTTGATATATGAAACTAAAAATTGCCAACGAAAGATGAAAAAATAAGGGTGCGAAACTAAAAAGTGTAGCCGAGAGAGAAAAAAACAAGTTAAAAACAGAGCAAGAAAACCACTGTAACCGAGAAAGACAAATCGTAAAATGCATTTCCACGCTCTATCGAGAGATGGTGAGGCAAGCAGCAGTTATATGAATATTCGGCAACCGGATGAGCTGATTTAACTGGATAGGAAATAATTTTAGCATTGTCGAAATTGAATTTATGGTCAAAATTCCGACAATGCACAGCAAAATTCTGAAATGTTGCACTTTGTGTGAATAATTCGTGGCATAAATTTGTGTGGGCATAAATTTAATTTATAGCTAGGTTTGTTTCAACTTTTCATTGATCTCTCTCTCTCTCTCTCTCTCTCTCTNTATATATATATAGACACACAGAGAGAGAGAGAGAGAGAAATGTAACGCAAACGTACATGTTTACAAATAAATAAAAATTCAAGTTAATGATTTTTATTTATTCTTTTGCATCAGGCTTAAATCTGTTTACGAAGTCGCAAAATTATTTCATAAAAACTAGGTATCTGCAAGATGTAACAAATCACTCAAAAATGAAATTGAAAATTTAGCATAAATGTAAGAAATATATATGAAGCTCGGATTATAGATGCATTCATAGGTTTGGGTCTCATTTGGGTAAGCGCAATAAATATACATTATGCAATACCTTTCTGGGTAAATGTGCAAAATTCAGTCCAATGTCTGCTGTAATGGCGGAAAAAATTAGTTATTTTAGTTAATAAACTGAACAAAATTTTTTTTAATCGTATGTTCTAAAAGAGCATTTAAAAAAAAATTCTTTTTTTGCTAAAATCCCTAATTTATTATGTATTGGTCACGATATGAAACGGTTCGATGTCAATTTGGAGAAATTAGCGTGCTTTAATTGAATATTTTAAAAATGTAAAATATATCAAAGGGGACTTTTTTACAGTATTATGGGGTGCTGATTCCTTTTAATTAAATTAAAGTTTACTTAAAAACTACAGAATTTCACCTATTTTCTTTACAAGGTTTGATATCCAATACTTATAATATTCAGAAGATAAAGTCAAATTTATAAAATAAGGCAGCTTTTTGAAAACTTCTTTATTTTAGATTTTGAAAAATACTACGCCTACATAAGTAGATAACGATCAAGATGCACTATCCTTTTGTCAAATTTCTATTGAGACCCATATTTTACTTCCTATTTCTTTTATTTTATGGTTACAATTTTTTGTTTAATTTGTTGTCAGGTGGTATATCATATCATCCTTATTAACAGTAGAAACTTCCGTTCAAAAAAGATAAAAACCGACATCATAACCTAAAACTTTATACGGACATCTTTATCTAAGGCATTATTTTTTTGATTAAACGACTTCGCTTCTAATGCTAGCTCTAAATAATAACTTAATCCAAAAAAGAGCATTTATCTAAGGCATTAATCAGATAGTTTTCTTCATTCATGGCAATAATCGCCCTTTTAAAAATGAAATACTCGAACTTTATATTAGCACCACCCCCCTTGACTAGATTTTACGATAGAGTTTATACCTCGTGATGGAGGTCTATCTATTGCCTCGTCAACTAGAAGACTCTCGTTAAAGGAAACATTTTATCCTGGCTTTTACGTTGAAGGCAGAGAAAATTCCTTACAAAAGCCTTCTTCTGTTGCCTTTCTAATAATGCTTCTACTGTCACAATAAAGCACTTGCATTTCTATTCGTTACAGTTTGTTGGCAACACAAAAAGAAGTCACTTGATTTTTTTCCCCACTGAGTAATTCTTGAAAGGTATCTAGTTTGATCCCCAGATTTCGTTTATGTTATTCTTAAGGAACATAAATATACCATTTAAAACTTTTCTTTCATTCTTACCTAGTGAAAGTAACACTTTTCGGTTTTAATCAAGAAATGCTCTTTTTTCTTTTTATTTGATCTCAACTGCTGTTTTGATTAAAACATCTAAAGTTAAATGGGTTTTCATCGCAGTTAAGAAAAACATTTTGACGAATTTCGCGTTTACGAATTTGTTTAAAAAAAAACGCGTACAAATATAATTTGAAATATTATTTCAAAGAATTATTGTCCGTTATGTAAAAAATTATTAGCTAAAAGAATTGTTGAATCTTCAGTCTATTTTTACAAAAAATAGACTGAAAATATAATTTAAAAAATGTGTACCTTTAGGAGCAAAACTAATTACAGATCTGAAATTTCCTCACCTGAATCAGGAAAGGTCACGTGTTTTTCATTTTATTTAGTAATCGACGTTGAACAACCGATCCAATTTTAAGTTCACTGTAACCAATGTTCAATTCCGTAGCTTTGTAATTTTGAACCCGATCCAGACTCCTGGATCAAGTATTTGGAGACACTAGCCTACGTGGAGGTTTTTTTGAAGGAACTAACCAGCATTTGTGTTACATAGAAAGGAAAACCACGAAAATCTGATTGACACGGTTAGACTGATGGCAAGGGGATTTTAACCAGTGATCCGTCTCTCATTGAGGATATTTAACGTCAGCACTGTGGTCGATGCAAGCCGGGTGCGAAAAGGTCAAGTATTTGTATAAATGCAACAAAAAATGTGTTCTTCAGTATTTATCAATATTCATAAAGTCAATTCTAATTATAACACGCGGAAAATAAGGTAAAAAATTAAAAAATATATATAAAATAGTGTGAAAATAAAAAAATTATTAAAAAAATAATAATAATAAAAAAGTTATGACGAAACTGCGTATTTTAATTTCAAACTACTCTCTCAAAAGGAATATATCTCGGGGAGCGGAAATTAGTAAGTTTCTGCCTCAAATGGAGAGTGAGAGATAAAGTTCTTTGCAAATTCTGTTATTCTCTCTCTGTTCTATTCAATCTGTGGTATGTTTTAAAAACTTTCCTCTAAGGGGAGATGAAGGGATTCTCTTGTGGATTTCTACGGATTTACAACTGAGATATTTTACCTCCAAATATAGGGAATTGAAATATTAACGTTAGGCGGATCATTTTCAATAAATTTCTATTTTATTATGCGGTAACTTCAAAACGTTAAATCCAAAATATTATTTTAAAAGTTGAATGAAATCAGGCGTTTTTTTTATCGATTCTTACGCTTTTAAAACACGCTATGACGATAGGAATGGATAAAATAAAATTGAAGTTATGTACTAAGAGTGCTTAACCTTGATTATCGTAAGTTAAATAATACTATGTATAGTTAAAAATTTTTATTTTGGTAAATATGACTTTCAATTTTTTTGACAAATCTAATGATGGGAAAAAGGAAGGACAAAAAATAAATAAGTAAAAATTACTTACCAAATGTCAATTTAAGGAGATAAATTGTAGAAGAGCCAAAAAAAGAATTTTGTTGTACCTGATATTAGTTCTTCAAAACTGATTGTAAAAAAGTTATAATTTTACAGGTATTTTTTAGTGTTGTTTAAAATGTGTTTCTTACACGAGTTGAAATCAACAGTTTTCAATAAATTGGAGTTTGATTATGCAGTAAAATTCAGTAAAAATAATTCATTATTCAATTTAATTTTTAATTTAAATTTAGGAATTTTAAAATTGAGCATTTCATGAGAACATAAAAAAAATAAATATTGAATTTACTCTCTGTACGAATATTTATTCTCCGAAAATTATTTTTGTATTTCATTAAGATTGAAGGAAGAGTTTTAGGATAAAATAGTCGGGTTACAGTCAATAAAAATCAGATGACGTCAGATGACGTACTTGCGATAATAAATTATAAAGTTATACACTAATTTTGATGAAATAATAAAACTGAAAATAAGAAAATTAAATAAAGAATAGCCTATGGCGGTTCAGACTATTTAATTGAGAAAAGTTTCTTTTTAAAAAAACTCCTATTCTCATGTCGAATTTCATAAATAAATTTTAATAGAATTTTAAATTTAAAATTCTATTAAAATAATATATACAGAACAAAAGGAGTTTAAACGTATTAATTGAATTTAATTCTTAATAAATAATACCTTTCAAGATTTTATTCTATAAATTTTCTATTTCAATAACGCTTTATTAATTTTAATTTTTTTTAAATTGTTATTCTCTAACTTATTTATTATTGAAACTTAATTTAATATAGAGAAACACAATCTTTAAAATACAATAAAATATTTAATTTTATATTAAAAATTATTTACACTTTCCAAATAGTATTTTTGATTTATCTCTATTTTACTTAAATATCTTTAGTTTGTCTCGATGTTATTACTAATATAATGTCATAGGAATAAATTTTAATTAAACTTCTGAGATATTCTTTTTACAAAATACTAAATTAATCTCTACTTTATTAGGTTTTAAGTTCATCTTTCATAAATTTTTAAAACATCTCAAATGTCAGGCGTTGCGACAAAGAAGGAGAGAGAGCACGCTCAACAGGTTTCCTAAAAAAGGTCTGCGTTATTGATTTCCTTGCACAAATATACGCGCGCACGCACAATTGTGGTTCGAAAATAAGCAGAGTGCTCCCTAGTTGCTTTTATTTTGCAATCTTGCGCGGCGGCGGTATGATTTCAAAAGAATCTTTTTCTTATTAATCGCAAGAAGAGTGGATCTTTCACCTTGCTGCGAATGGCAACACTTTGCATTTTTAATGGCATTCATATATTACAACTTCATGACGTCAGAATTTTGTTACTATAGCAACGGAGGTATCATTAGTTATGATAAGAGAAAAGCATGCAATGTATCGGAATGATACGAATTCCGATTTCAAGATATGATCCTTTTGAATTCCAATACATGAGTTAAACGGCAAACACTTGGCATGAAACAGAACTTTTCAAATAAATCTTTCAATGTTATGAATAATTAATTTTATTGAAGTATGTTGTCATATGTTTGTTCCGGATGTAACTTTTGCAATATAATTCAATGATGATGATATGGGTGACTTCTAATAGAATTTTAAATGTCATGGGAAATTTTTTCAATATTTTATGAAATATTTTTTATTAAATTAATAGGAATTACTTTCGTTGCAAAATCACTGCATATAATATTCAATTTCAATGATAGAAGACTGGATGTTTTCATCGTTAAATTGCTTTCGAATAAATTAAAGCAATGTATTTGAAATTGTTGTACTGTGTAGGTAAAGCTACTATGTACTGAATTATAAATGGATATTTTTGTGAAGTTCTATTTTGAATGTTTTTAAAAATATGTAAAATTTACCTTAACTCTTTTATTATTTTATTTCTTTTGAATTAAGAAAACTAGTTTTAAGAAAACAAGAAGTCTTAAGAAAATATGAAGACTCGAATTTTTTGTTAAATTTTTTAAATGAATGAAAACAAAGTATAATGAAACTGTTATGCAGTGTTGTTAAAACTAAATTAGCCTTAATTATAAATGGTCATTTTTCACGCTCTTTTATTTTAATTATTTTATAATTACTTAAGTCTTAATTTACCACTTTAATATTTTATATTTAAATCCTAAACTTGTTGCTTTCTTCGTTCAAGTTTTTCTGAATAAATTAAGCGATTTTATTCAAAATTTTAATTCTGTGTAGTTAAATAAGTTGCAAAGAAATTAATCATAAATGGTTATTTTTTATACACACCTATTTTTAATCCTTGTATAAAGACATAAGACCTATTTCTTTTGTTATTTTATTTCCAAATTCTAAATGTTAAAGTATCTGTGTAGTTAATTTTATTAATCTGTGTAAAGTGAATGTGAATTTAAGAATGTCTAAAAAAATAAGATTTTCAAAGAACATTTTGACTCTATTTTATATTATATTTTCTTATTACACGCGTATTACATTTGATTTAGAGTTCAGATGTAGGATATGAGTCAAACATAAAAGAGGTCTTTCAGAAAATAGCATTTTCGAAGAGCATTTTTGACACCTTGATTCTCTATGCATTAAATTGTATTTACTTTTCTGTTTAATGCACGGAAAGAAAAACGAAACACTCTTAAAACCTTTTGATCCAATGATCAGATTTTCTCGCACTAGGACTTAGATTTAGTGGATCACTGTGGTGACCTCAGATATCTTCATTAATGAGTGCATGCGATATTTGAAGTTGCGAAATCAGACACAAAAACGTACTTTTTTTGTCAATACAAATGCTTTTTTTTCCAACTGATTTGGATCCCTTACACTCAAAATATAGGAAGTATTCGCCTTCTGCGAAATAAGGTTCCAACAGTTTGGTCAGAAGAGCATCTCAAAGTTTGAACCCCTTAATGCGAATTTAACTTTTTGCATGTTTCGCTATAACTGAAGGTTTTAAATTCGCTTAAAAAAGCGAATAGGGGTAGGAAAGAAAATCCATCAAAAAATTTATATGTTTATCCAGAGGAAATATGCTCTTGTGTCTAATTTTGTAACTTTAAGCATCGTTTGCACAAGTAAAGTAGCATATATGAGGCCAGGCCCCCGTGAACCATTAAATTTGTGTCATTTGAAATTGATTAGTTTTAGAAATGAATTAAAAAATTTTTTTGCGCATGGTACACATGAACACATCGTAAATAGAAGTCAAACAATAAATATAGTAATGTTTCAGAAAAATAGCATTCATGAAGAGCAATTTCGGCACCATTATTTTCTTCGTGTTTGATTTAATTTTAGGTTCTAATCATGAATAAGCAGGTGGTATTATGACAAAAAGATTTACAATCAACTCAGTTAGAGAGAAAAATACTTTTTGAGAAATTTTAAAGTATGACAAATATAGTAATATGTGATCCCTGTATGTGAAGGAACTTAACATCTATTACTTCCGCACTTTTTACCTAAAAAACTGGAATCTGTTCGAATATTAGAGTACCTAACGGCATTGAAAAAAAAAACATTTGTACACATTCAGAATTTTCATTCTAAAATTATGGTAAAATGACCGGCAGCAGTCTGTCCATCCGATTTACCGTAAAATGTACGGTAAAGAAGAATTTCACCTTTACGGTTTTGAAATCATTTACAACTAATATAGTTATAAAACCGTGGATACAAAACTATACCGTTTTTTAGCCTTTTATAACTAGCATGGTTTCAAAACCAAAAAGAAAAGAAATTTAACTGGACATGTAAACTAGTATTTTCGTTGGGAAATGAGAATTGGGAAATGAGCAGGGCGCTGGGAAATTCTTCATGTGTTGAAGGGAATGAAGAAAATAGTGTTGTGTCAACGTGGGAACTCAAACTCCAGTTCTGCTGGTCATGAGACTCATCAATTAGCACTCTTGGCTATAATATGCATCCAGCTGCAAGGAACTAAACGGCTCCATAAGGTAGGCTTAGTTGGTGCGATAAAATTCTGGTATTTTGACCGTATTATGTGAAAGCAGTTAATAAACGGTTTTTCTCGCAGTTAACAGTTTCATTAACATTTTGTTAATAGTTATTTGACTGTTTTGCTTGAATATGGTTGAATATGGTAAAATAACTACTAAATAAATTGAAATTTAAGTTTTTTTTCCAGAAATGTCTAATATTTTTAGTAGGTTAGAACGGATAGCAAAAGTAGTAAGAAGTGACAGTAGCGACAGGTTTTTCTCTAGTAATCAACGCCTAATTTCTAGTAGTTTTTTTTAAAAGATAACAGCTTAGTCCAAGCTTTAAAGAAGTAAAAAAATTTACAGCAGGATATTCCACTTAACTTTAGACAAGGTAACCTGTAAAGTGAAGTCTATGGACTGAATAACGTACAACATTGTTTGCTTTGCATATTTAATAAATTTGTGGAGCGCTTCAAATAAATTTTGAATTACCTCCTGTGATATTATGCTGATACTTTATATTCATTTTTCTTCATAAATATTCCTCTCTCTTTCTCTTGCATTAAATCTTAAAATGCAACCAATCTTTGATAGTTGTTTGGAAAATAAGTTGTTGATTCTTATGGAGCTATAACGACGTCATAGATTGGTTTAAAATAAGGCTGTTAGTTAAGCGTGATAGGATAAAAAGAGAAAACAAAGTGAGTTAATATAGATAATAGTTTTTCTTTTTAGGCAGAAGTAAATATATTTTTAGGTAAATTGAAAACGATACAGGCTCAAATATCACTGTCTGTTTCAACTGAGTGACTGTGGTTCCATGTACAGATGTTACGGTCAATATGAATAGCCAGTTATTATTAATACTAACCGGCAAATATTTATAATAACCAAATAAGTCGGCTAAGGTGAATAATTTAAGCGAATTTATCACTTTGCCCGGCTACTAGTAATAATAACGAATGATGTTTGGTCAATGTCATTCTTTCGAGTTTTTATTTCTCATTTTGACCTAAAGAAGCGGTTATAATTAATTTTGACAGGTTGAACTATTAAATCACATTGACCAAACTTCAGAGGTTATTATTAATAATAACCGGTTGAAGTGTATAATTTACGATATTTCTCACTTTGACCAAAAGAAGCAGATTTTATTAATTTTATTGACATGGTATTAATAAAGGGATTTATCACTTTAACCGTAAAACATGTTCAAA